GTAAAATAAACATTTCTAAATGCAAAGCCGAGGGCTGGCAGATACAAATTGAAGTGTTGCATGAGCAGAGTGAATTTTTCTGTTCAGTTTTCATATGACAGTCTAGACGTGTGGGGGAAAAAATCCCGTTCTTCATGTGCACGAAGGTTAAAAGTTACCTCTGAAAGTATTTTTCCCGAATACCAAACTTTCTACCTTACTTGAAGTTGCAGTTAGAGTTTTTCTGCAGCTCAGATAAGTAGTTTAAATTCCGAAGCTTGATTTAACCATTGTTGTTTATTGTTTTAAAAGTTGGTTTTGGTGGCTTGTGAGAATACACCTAAAATCTGCAGATAAGAATCTTGTGTTTTCTGCGGAGATTAGCTTCGAGTAATGGATCATTAGACCGGGCTCACCTTTTAGGGTCAGGGGCCTGACTGGATCTTTACCCGGTCTGATGAAGTGAAGGGTTTATTTATCCAAGAATAAAGTGGAGGATATGTTTATTTTTTTTTAGATCCGGCATGTTCCTGTTAGTATGCTTATCATATTACGTTGTGAAGCTTTGAACGACGAGCTTGTTTTCTGCGTTCGTGGGTGCTGGCATGTTGTTCGAGCTCTTCTTCCAGACTGTGAATCGCTGGGGTTGAAATGGTTTTCCCCCATCAAAACGTACTGGCGAGTTCAAAGAGGGGAAACGACACATTGCTGTTTTTCCTGAAGGCAGAGCCCTGTCCATCGAGTTGTTCCTTTGGGTCTGAAGGCTCAGGGAGAGAAAACAGGATCTTCGGATTCTTCATAAATCACGTTCCAATAATGTTTATAGTGACAAGCGTTCTGTGTTTAAAACTTAATTGGTGGTACCACAGACCTATTGGAAACAGATGACGATGGGGTCAGTGTGTAGAGGACTTGGGTTTTGTGGCTGTCCTACTGTAGGTAGTTGAAGGTTTTTTTTTTACCTTGTCAGATGGTTTGAAGGACTTGTGCTAATGAAACAGGATGTTTGTACGGTCTGCAGATCCCAGGAGTAATCAGGCCCCTCCTACTCCTCCCAGCTAAGAGCCTGCTGCCTGAACTCCTGACCTCTCCCTGTTAGAAGAAGTCTTGACATTTATGGTCGCATACAAAAAGTAAAAGAAAGACCGCGAGACTGACTATTTGTTGATACAATTATTATTAATATCATATATTAATATATGACTGTTATACAAGAGCTCGGGGTGCATAACAGCTTTCTCACTCCTTTCGACAAACATCAAGGGAGATCTTAGAGATCTTTTCATCTTCAAAAAGCAGCTTCAGACAATCTCTGTGATTTTAGAGAAAAGAAATTAATGAAAGATGAAAAGCGGAGCATTTAACACACGAAGGCTCCAGATTATATAGTGTGAAGAATTCAGTTTGATGTGTTAATATAGACATCTAAGTTTTTAATCCTCTGAAACTATGCGCTGTCACACACAAGAATGTTAAGGGAATCATTTTTTAATTGCAGTTATTGCAAATCATTCTAAAGTAATCTACAGTGGAGCATAATGGGGGAGCATGACAGCTCTTTTGTCTTGGCCTCGATTCTGGCCTGGGACACCTTCTGGTGGAGATTGCATGTCCTTCCTGCATGCGTTCTGGTTTCCCAGAGACATGCTGGGTGGGTTAGTGGGTGAGGGATGGCTGGCAGGGTACATTTTCACCCTTCCTTCGTGTGACTGACCAAATGTTTTGCAACATGAGTCCTATGACTGACCAAATGTTTTGCAACATGAGTCCCATGACTGACCAAATTGAGGTGTTGCCTGCATGTGTCCGGTCTCACTCTGAGAGCCCTTTTGCTGGATTTCAGAATTTTAATGACCTAAAAAACACCGCTTCTTGCAGGTAACCTTTGAAACCAAGACAGCCTTTCCTTTCTCTGTGATCGAGTGCGAAAGAGCGACCTCTAGTGGAAAACAAGGGCAGCAGCAAACCCTCTGCAAGCTATGCTGTGGGCTGCTTGGGATAGATTTACAGTTACAGGGCAGTAACGTTCAGCGGGAAAGCATTTCAATACTCAGCGAGTGCATATAAAACAGACAGCCCTCTTGCCTGTAACTGTGTCCTTGTGCTGTAAGTGTAGGTGAACATCCACAACTGAGGCTCTGGTCACGGATGTACAGATAATGGCTTTAAAAATGAATCAC